CATCATAGTTCCGTTCAAGGCGATTAAATTTGGTTTCGATTATATGCAAATACCTTGAACATAAGGTCATAAATTCATTTTCTATATGCCCCTCTGCAATAGAACGTTCAACGCATGATCTATTACGAATAAAAAGCTTCAAAAAGTATAACCATCGCTCTATTGGATACATTGATCGGTATTTAACGGGTCAAGCAATCATAGCTTCATTAGCTAAATATTACCACATTTATTCTTCAAGAGCAGTCGCTTGGATTTGCAAGAAATGAACATCAGGAAAGAACTACATAAAAAAAAATGGAGATAAGTATGAGCTACCAACATCATGTTTCACATTATCTCCCGAAGAAAAGCACAAGTTTTTAAATTTTTTGAAGGATTTAAGGGCTCCTCATGGATTTTCATCAAATATTTCTCATTGTATCAATATGAAAGATCACAAAATCTCAGGATTAAAAAGTCATGATTGTTACCAAAATATTATCACATATATTCTTCTAAATGTGCATCACATCTAAATTATGCCGCAACAACAAAATTTTCCAATATGGTAGATGAAAAAAATACTCTTCTTATTCCAATTATCACCTCTATTCTCATGTGATACTTTAATCTTCTTCTTTGGATCACTTGTTAGAGGTAACCCATCTAAATCAGCCACTTGATCAAGTATGTCATCACCAGACAATGTATTTGGAGGTAATCTCCACTCTACAATATCATCAAATAACTTTTTATCGTTCCTCCATTTGTGATTAATAGGAAGAAAGTTCCTATGACCCATTTAACACTATTTTTGACCATTTTTCAACATATTTGACATTGTTTCTTTATTGTAACATGGGCAAGCCAATTTTCCTTTTGTACTCCAACCAGGTAGATTTGCATAAGCTGGAAAGTCATTGATGGTTCACATTAAAGCAACATACAATATGAAGTTCTGTTTAGTTGACGCATCAAAGGTAACAACTTTTGTTTCCCATAATTCCTTTAATTCATCAATCAATGGTTAAAGATAAATATCAATTTCATCTCCAGGACTTCCAGGACCGGGAATAAGCATTGACAAAATATAATTTTCCTGCTTCATGCATAATGAAGGTGGTAAATTATAATGAACAAGTACCACAAGCCAAATACTGTATGGAGTTCTAGAGCATCCAAATGGTTGAAAACCATCACTAGCAAGTCCAAGTCTAACATTACGAGGCTCCATAGCAAATGATTGATGAAGTTCATCAAACTTTTTCCATGCTTTTGAATCAATCGGATGCCTCATAATTCCATCATTAGCTTTGTTTTCATGATGTCATCTCATTAAAGAAGATATGTTTGAGTACATAAACAATCTTTGAAGCCTTTTCTTTAAAGGAAAATAGCGTAAGATCTTGTGTGGTGACTTTTTCCCCTTTTTAAATTGAGTTTCCCCACTATTTTTTATCCTCCTTCCATCTAGATGCACTACAAATTTTGCAAGAATCAACAAACATATCATTCTTCCAATATAACATGCAATCATTCTTACATGCATCAATCCTCTCATATGAAAGCCCTTCATAATATGAATCTGGCAAGTTTGATTCATCAGGCAACAAATCATTCTTTAACATCTTCAATAACATATTAAATGAGTCATTACTCAAACAACCAATACTTTTAGTATAAAGCAATTTAACCAAAGTAGAAAGTTTTGAACCTTTGTATAGTGGTTGATCATATTCTTTTATAAGACTATAGAATCTTTTTGCTTCAGGATTTGGTTCCTCCTCGAGAACATCATCACCACTAGTATTCATATTTTCTACATTAAAAGTAGGATGTAAATCTGTAAGAATTTCATGTATTTCATCCTCTTCATAATCCTCGCTAATATAATTTTCATCATCTTCAGATTCAGAATTCGATTCTTCTGTCTCTTCTATCCTCTCTCCATGGTAATACAAAAGGTATAATTTTGGATCATTCCACGTACTATTAAATGTGATCTAACCATTTCTTTTGTTCTAGAAACTGCATTACAACATTTAACACACGAACATCTAATTTCATTCACTTCCCTCAATTCGGTAAAAGTATAATTCAAAAAGAATATCTAACGGGATGAGAAACAGAGAACATCTAACAGGATGAGAAACGTAGAACATCTAACGGGATGAGAAACAGAGAACATTTCCATCAATCCTAATCATACCTAAGATATATTCTTGATGAGTTTAATCTTAGTAGATAAAGAATGATCAATGTTGCCTCTAAACATTATATCGTCACATCCGATTTCATATAAAATTGAATTCCATAAACAAAAACAACTTATAGACAAAGAAAAATCGTCACACCAGTTCCATTTAAAATTGAATTCCAGAAACCAAAAATTGTCTAGATAATGAGTAAGCATGTTCAAACGGGCTATAGAACGCCAAAAACAAATTAAACTTGATAGAATACAAAGAGGTCAAGATATTTGCCAAAGAGAAGAGAACCATCACTTACTATTGATTTGTAGAGAAGGAAGTTATCAATTGCTCTATAGATTCAAAGCTATCTCTACTTGAAAAATGAAGAAGAAGAACCTCTCAATAGATTCACAGCAATCTTAGTTTTCTATTATGATCAAAGAAAATTGAAACCTGGGCACCATGGATCTGATGAGAAACGTTAGGGCTTCTCTAAGATTGTTTCTCAAATAAACCGAGGGAAAAATATGCACCTCCTTTTTTTGTTTATGTTATTGGTAAATTTAATATCTAACCCAAATATAATTATTCTTCTATAAATACTAAAAAATAATATATATATATATATATATATATATATATATATATATATACTAGTAATTTGTTTTAACGATTGAAATAATATTTTAGAACGACTAATATTTATCCTCTCGCTTATAATATATTAAAAATAACAATAACGACCAAAAAATTATTTTGTCGTTAGGAATACACTTTTTACGACCACATATATGTCCCTTCGTTAAGAAATGGTCGTGAAAAAGCACTTTTCTTTAGTGTAGGGTCGAGGTCGCCGATCTGTTTGGCGGTACGCCGACTGTCCATTTCCATCGCCAAGTAGGTCTCTCCCCAGGACTGGAACTCTGGAACTTTTGGCAAGCTGAAGAGCCATTCGGCGGTTCATCGAGTGGTCTTGGTGATCACCAGGACTGCATTTCTTTAACTCTTTTAGCTTTTTCGCTCCTTTTTGCTGAATAATGTTCTTGCCTTTCTCCTTAGCCTTCATTGCTGCAAATCAACACTTTAACATTAGTTTAAAGCATAAATTAGGCATTTAGAACAATAAAACTATAAAAACAAAGCCCTAAATGAGTCGAAAGCTTAGACTCATAAACACCCCCAACTTAAAATTTTGCTTGTCCTCAAGTAAAACTCAAGATCAATCAGTTCAACAAGGATGTCTACAAACAATGCTACTCAAGATTCAACACAAATGCACACAAGAGGTTCAGACTTCGCATGCAATGTTCAATTGTGCACTCTAAGTTTCAAATTGTGACTAGCCATTATAAAAAAGACTCAAGCTCATAATGTTTGCTTCAAATGTAAGTTCAAGCCCAACGAAAGCATTCAAATGACCTCACATCAAGAATGATTCCATGCTCACACAAAGTTCATCAACAATTTAAGATTTTGGAATCAAATACAACTCTCACACTCCCAAAGATGAACACATGAATGAATCTACCCATAGGCTTGCCCTTATTTTCCAATCAACATTATTTTCAGCTCACTCAAGATCACAAAGGTCTTTCAAGGCTTGTAATAGGATTGAGTGCAAAAGTATGATCATTTTGGTTTAGTGACGTCTACCATCATGATGTATGGCATGCAAATCCCTTTTTCTCCTTCTCTTTCACATTCTATGATGTTCACCATCCACCCTATTATTCATTAAACATGACTCATTGGATACCCCATTTCTTTTGCTTCTCTCACAAGCTTTATTTCACAAACTCTTCTCTTTGTCAATCTATTTCTTTTCTTTCTCTTCTCTTTTTTTACATAGATGGGTTCCATCTTTTTCAACATAATCCTTCAAAGGTGGATTTTTCACATTCCTTGATATTCCTTCTTTTTCACCATACTCCCAACTTTAGGCTTTTGGCGTAAGTTTGCTATTCAAACGAACCAATACTTCATGAAGGTTATAGGTAATGGGATAAAGAGGTCAAAGTTGTTCAAGTTTTTCCCCAAAAAAAGATAGGCTCAAAGGGTGCCAATCTACGTTCACACTCTCACAAGGTGGCTACAAAGAGATATAACATAAATTTTTGGTTCACTCTTCACAAATTGTGCCTAAGATCATTTCAATCGCTTGTTTTCATCAATCAATCGGACTAGCAGGGAAAATTCTAGGTATGACCAAGCACATATTTTGAAACAACCTCACCACTCTTGGCATTCGACATAATCATCAAACAAGACTACAAATTTCAGCTAGCGTGCAATGATCATCACAAGAGATCAACTCAATAACTAGCTAGTCACAATGAGATGCTAGGAGTTCATATATGACCTATGTAACTTAATTTGCCTCATTGTAGCGGCACACTCATATCGTTCAATTGAGAAAACTATTCAAGTCATCAGTATTAACCACAACTCACACTCAAAATTGCAAGAGAACTGCCACTTTCAAACACACAAGAGGTGGCAATTTTTAAAATTGATTCAAAAACCATTTGCAAGTCAAAACAATGGACACACAATAGATCAAAGCCACATGTATATAAAAACATAAAATGCGATCCAATATTCAAAAAACAACAATGGCAAACGTCCACAAAAACAACCCAAAAGAGGTAGGTATAAAAAATACCTCACCCCACCAAACTAGTCTAGCAGTAGTCCTCAAATGCAAAGAAATATAGAAACAAAACAATCTAAAAATAGAAATGGAGGCAAAAGAGTCATCCTACTAGGCTAAGCTTGGGGTGAAGTTTGCATGTCGGTGACTCCATCTATCTAGGCATCCGTTCCCTGCTAAGTAGCATCCTTGGCTCTGCTAGAACTCACCATCGACGTCTCCCTAAGAGATGCCTGCCTAGCTATCTCGACCATGATGCCCTCCAGATCTGCTAGATCATCATACATGGCTGCGTCTCTAATATCGAGCTCCTTCTCATCAGTCTCTGAGTCAGACTCAATAGTTGTGCTCTCTCTATCAACATCTCCGGTCGTAGTAGGCAGAGGAATCTCTGAACTGGTAGGAACATTTGCGCTTGGGATGTTGAGGATCTCAACTACGCCGAATAACATCTACATATCTATGGACTTCAGCTCGTCCAAATCTTTCTTCAACTCAACAATATCGGCCCTCAAGGCCATCAAACAGCATAATCACACTGACCCTACTCGCATGCCTCAACCCTCACTATAAAAGCATCTAGAGCCATCTTGTGGCCATCAATCAACTCCTGGTGCTCTCTAATCTCAACCCTGATTAGGGCCAAAGCAACACCAATCGCCCACTCTATCATCCCAAACACAACAACCTCAACCCGGAAGGCACGCACATCGGCAGATTGAGCCATATGGCCCATCTTATATAACATGGCCTAGGTGATAGGGGGTAGGGAAGCAGTGGTAGCAACGACAAAAGTAGTGGGATGGGGTGCAACAGTAAAACTTGGAGTAGCAGAAGAAGAAGGACCAGAGGTACGTGTAGGCTCACATGCCTGAGGGGGAAGTATTGCCTCAGCCGACAACAAATCAACCTCAACTACCAGGGATGTATCCACTGGTGCAGCCCTCCTCCCGTCGACCTCATCTCTCAAGTACTCGGCCACAATCCGCCGGATGTTAGTAGAGCAAGTGGGTGTCACCTCTGCATCCATCTTCTCATTCATAGGGGCACAGTCCTGCCTACACAGCTCAGTGATCAGCACCAGAAATGGAAGGGAAGTTTGCATCTGCTTGGCCCTCATGGCCATCTCTTGGTCAATGATCAGACCCAAGTTCAGCCTTTGTCAATCCATAATAGAACCTAGGCACGCAACCTTTGGGTGTCAGAGGATCGACTCATTCTGCGAAGGCATGATGGTGCTGCTAATAAACTCGAACTACTATATGGCATCCACATTCAAGTTCTTCTTCTCAATCGGTGCACCGGCCTCGATCCACTTCGATGTCATATCAGAAATGAGGGGTGCCAACTAACCCTTAAGATTATCTAGGGCCTTTTTCTTAATGAGGTCAATATAGTCATGCATGAAGTCCTGTAACCACCTAAGTACCTCATAAATCTCCGTGCTGCTACACTTCACCTTCTTCCCCCGAACAACCACAAAGTCAACTAGCATGAATGTACTGGCCTTATTTTTCCCATCGATACCAGCTCCCTATAAGCTGAATATAACTCCCAGACCCAAGTAGGGATGTAGGGGCCTCGGGGTTTAGGGAAAATCTTAAATATGTGGAACTTTAGGGTGTTCCACACCTCAAGATACCTATGACCACACCATCGATAGAAAACCACTTTTATTCTAGAATAGTCATCAAACCCTCGGCCTTTAGGCTGTTGAGTGACCAAAGTGGAAGACCCTAATCTAGTGGAGCCTGTACAACTGTCTGAGCTGGAGCTGGAGGAGGAGGAGGCACAGGAGGAACTGGGATCCTAGACAGATCATTCATAGTCTTGGAGTGTAGCTCCGCTCTCCTAGCTTGTAAGAGCTAGTTATTTTCTGGCTCGGATATGGAGGACGTAGAATTGCCCTCAGATTGGCCCTCATTGTCATAAGTAGTGAAGTGTGTACCATAGAAACCCTCACTATTGGAGCTCCCCTCCAAAGGTGTGGGTTGTACATGACCCTTACCCTTGCCAATTCCCCTTTTTGGAAGAAGTTTGTTAGCGGGGGACCGAGAGGCTGCAACCTCCTCATTGATCAGTATCCCTCTAGCCCTTTTTGGGGCGGTTGGTTCTTTCCTGCTACTATGGGTCTAGCCATACCTGTAAAACAATGTTGATAACATTAGACTTAGTTTAGAAAAAATCGCATTGTAACAGTTGTAAGAAGACTCACCGAACCATTCGGTGAGTCGCTGAACCCCTTTGAAGAGCCAAGTCAGGCTCGTGGCAAGTTCCTGAGTAAAATAACTCAAAAATAATCACAATTAGGTGATGTCTAGGGCAATTCAATGGATTGGTGACACCATTTAGTGAACTAGAAGTAGTTTGCCAGATGTTACATAATAATTTCAGGAATTTTGGGCGCATAAGGGCGATTAGAAGGGTCTTTCGGCGAGTCGCTGAGCGAAGTTGGCGAGCTCAGGCATATCACCAAAAGTTACAGAATCAAGCCAACAAAATAGAGAATTAAAAGGCAATCGAAGGGACTTTTGGCGAACTGTCGAACCACTCGACGAGCTCGACCCAGCTCGCCGAATAGTCCATCATGCCAGATCTTTACCCTGACCATCAAAATCTAACCCTCAGCCCATGAAGACAAAATTAAACTATTTCTCTATGCAATTAGATTCAGACCCATACTACCCATGCCCACAGTGTACTCAGACTTACTCCGATTTGGCCAAAATCGACCAATTGACTTATTTTTCCCTTAAGAATGACATCAACCACTCTATCATTAGGCAAAATCCAGCAATTAGCACAATTCGGGGTTACTTAGAGTTCACCCCCACTAGACCCACAAGAAATTCAACATAACCCAACAATTTTAACATGCTTAGACACGGGATTTCACAAATTAAGGGCAATTAACAAAGATTTAGACTAAATACGGGTAAACAACACTCCATATTGTCAACAAATCAACACTAAGCACATAGAACAACCATACAACTATCAAGCATTCAATTTCAACAAAATGTAAAGTAGGGTTCGGGAAACCAACCTTAGATGCCAAAAATTTAAAATGCTAAGCTAGCAATGAATCCCAAAGATCCTCCCCGAGTTGTAAATCCCACACAAATTTAAGAAAACTAGTACGAAAGCAAGAAAATATGTGGTAGTAAAAAAGTATGAAATGAGGGAGATTTTTTAATTTAAAACAATTTGGCCTTAAAGACCTTTCAGTTCACGCGCCAGTCGGCGATCACGACTTACGTTGTCGACCCACTCGGTGAAGCTCTGAGTGGTACTTTAGCTCGCCAAGTTTTACAGAACATGTAGTAAGCTAGGTGGTTTCAATAGCGATCCAAGTCGGGCTCGCCGACCTGTTCAGTGAGTCGCCGACTGGACCTTTGCTCGCTTAGCTGCCATTTTAATTTCAACTTTTCAACCTGCACATTCAACACCCGTTATTCAATAAACAAAAATTAAACATAAAAGATTGGGTTGCCTCCAAAGAAGCACCTTATTTAACGTTGTGGCACGACTTGGATATGCTCTCAAGGTTCATTTTTTGGGTTAGCCAAGGTATCACTTGGTAGACCCCATTTTTGCCTTGGGTTCAAATGAGATGTGATTTGACCCATTTGTGTTTCCAGTTGTTTGATGGACACTGAGTGAGAGGTGACCGTCTGATTTAGTGTGGAGACGTCCTTTTTCATTTCTTTTAAAACTTTGTCCGACCATTCCACTTTATTGATAATATGAGCAAGAATATCTCTGTTGCGAAAGTTTTCTGGGTCAGCCCTTTGCTCTTTTGGGTTTTGACGCTCATGGGGAGGAACGTATCTTTCCTTGAGAAAACCGGATAGCACCTACACCACCCAAATGTACTTCATTCACATCGTTCAAGTTACTGATGTCGTTATTTTTGCCCAGCTGGCTGGCGTTACTTCTATTGAAACTCATTTCGTCACCTGATCAAAGGCACAAAGAACAAGCATAAAGTTAGGTTCAACTACAATACGATAAGATCACAAACAAATGTTAGCAAGAGAAATATAAATACCACTCCCCGACAGCTGTGCCATTTTGGATAAACGCTCAACTACACCTCATCCAATACTAGGTGTAGGCGATCGTAATCTTGTACAAAACCAAACGAAGAGTTGGGATCGAACCCATAAGGATCAGTACAAGTTTGAATTAAATTACGAAGTAATAAATGTGGTCTAATTGGTTATAGGAATAGAAATTATCGAATTCATTTAGATAAATCAAAGGGGTTGACACGAATGTCAGATGGGGGGATTGGTTTGTCAATTAGCAACTACAACAATTACGAAAATAGGGGAATCAATAAGTAGAAAGGAATTCTCTGGGATGTGATCGATTATTGGCTAATTTCGCTATATGGGTAATTGTAATTTATGAACAATTGTTGAACCTCTGTCAGTAGGCTAGACTATAGATGCAATAGATTTCTGTCAAACAACTATTACGATTCAAGCGAGTTCTTTCAAACCTCGACAAGCATAACACTAAAAGCAGCCCAATACCTCAATATATCTACTCTCTAGAGCTACATAAGTAGAATCAAGTTAAGATTCACTCTCTCGAGCTGAACCCATAAAAACCCAATCACTACAATCGTCAATCAATAACCTTAGTTTTGAAACCTCTTTCTTAAGCAAGCCCAAAACACTAAGTTAGAATTTCATTAGCAACTACAATTCATAGATTGATGCACAACCATCAATTAAACACACTTCAGGTTAGTATTTAAATCAGTAAACAACATTACCCATAAGCTAATTAAGCAAATAATCACATGATAACACCCCAAGAATTGGGGTTTTAGCCACACATAATAAAAAGGCAGAAACTATTACCAATTATGTTATCCGTGAACTGGGTAATGGTTCCCAAATCTCTACAATGCTTCAATTCAACTCCATTCAAAAACCCAATTGAAAACTCATCCAAACAAAGTCTCAAAGAAAGCTCAAAGTTCTACAATGGAAAAATTTCTCAAGAGAATAACTAGATTAAAGGTTGGATTCCACCCACACTTAATTATGCTTTTTAAATTTTAATTTATAGTTTCCCAAATTTTGGCCTTCAGGACGATCAGGCGAAGTAAGTCAAGCATGGCCGACCAAGTCGGCGACGCGCCCATTGCCCCATTCCATCGCCGATTTGCCTTGACTCTTTATCCTCAGTGTTTTGTGACTTTAGGTAATCAAGGTTGAGGTCACCGATCCATTCGGCGGTATGCCGACTATCCATTTCCATCGCCAAGTAGGTTTTTCTATAGTACTGGCACTCTAGAACTTTTAGCGAGTTGAAGAGCCACTCGGCAGTTCGCCGAGTGGTCTTGGCGATCACCAGGACTACCTTTCTTCAACTTCTTAAGCTTTTTCTCTCCTTTTTTCTAGATAATGTTCTTGTCTTGCTCCTTAACCTTCATTGCTGTAAATCAACAATTTAACATCAGTTCAAAGCATAAATTAGGCATTGAGGACAACAAAACTAATAAGTCAAAATCTCAGACTCATCAATCACCTATTAAGGCTTGATGCTAATGTTGTCGAAAATGAATCAATGGAAATTGATGATGCCTTTCCGCATGAATCGGTATTGTTCAACTGTCAAACCTCAATTATTTGATATGCCAATTTTATTGTGTGGTATGCCACTTAAATATCTCAATATTCACCAAATGAGGAAATTCTTGTTCCATGTGAAGAAGTA